GCTGGAGGCAGCTCATAGGAGTGGGCCTCCCATGGGATTGGTAAAGGAAGTGTCTGCCTCCATTTGTGCTGCTACAAGAGAATACCTGAGGCTGACTCATTTATAAGGAACAGAAGTTTATTGGCTCACAGTTCTGGAGATCGCAAAGTCCAAGGTTCAGGAACTGGCAGACTTGGGAATTCTGCCTCCAAGATGGTGCTTTGAACACTGGAGGGCAAGAGAGACACAAGTGGGCTAAACTCACCCTTTCATAACATTAACTCCACCCTTGAGAGTGGAGCCCTCACAGCCCAATCACCTCTTACAGGCCTCATCTCTTAACACTGTTAGAATGGCAATTCAATTTCAACATGAAGTTGGCACAGTGCCTCACGCCCCAATCCCAGCTACTTGCGGACAGGACTTGAAGACTAGCACATAAAAACAAAAAATTTTAAAAATTAGCATGCCCCTGTGGTCCCAGCTACTCGGGAGGTGGAGGTGGGAAGATCACCTGAGCCCAGAAATTCAAGACCAGCCTGGGCAATATAGTGAGACCCCCATTTCTACAAAAAAAAAGAAAAAATTAGTCGAGTGTGATGACTCACACCTGTAGTTCCTGCTACTCACGAGGCTAAGGCAGGAGGATCACCTGAGCCCAGGAGGTTGGGGCTGTAGTGAGCTTGTAGTGTGTTTATGCCACTCCACTTCAGCCTGGGCAAGAGTCAGACCCTGTCTCAAAAAAAAAAAACAAAAAAACAAAAAAACACCTCCCAACTACAATTGTGAGTTTGTTTGTTTCTCCTTGAAGGACTGGCTTTTAAATTCCATGGTCTTCCCTCTATAGTTTGGAAGATACATTTCCATTCTTTTAGAGATTATCTGAAAACTTTGATAAGCCTAGTAACAGATGCTAAAGTCAGTGTCCATGCCCTCCTTCCAACCAGGAGGAGGACTATAGAACACTGTAGGTTTGCGCACCTCTCTCCCAACTCACACATGGCATCTTTTTTATAAACTCCAAAAGTAGGCATTCTAAGTAGAAGCTTCTAGATGTGGTGTTTTAGACATGCCCACAAATCGACCCTCCTGCCTATTCATTCCTTCTTCCATCACCAGCTTCCCCACAGGATCCCTTGCCAGAAGCCCAGACATGCCTTAGACGCTTTAGGCTATGCTGGCAGCAAACTCAGGAGTGAGGACGGTTTCCTGGTATGAAAATGCCTTTAGTTCTCTTTTTTTTTCTTTTTTGAGACAGAGTCTCATTCTATTGCCCAGACTGGAGTGCAATGGCACAATCTTGGCTCACTGCAACCTCTGCCTCCTGGGTTCAAGTGATTCTCCTGCCTCAGCCTCCCGAGTAGCTGGGATTACAGGCATATGCCACCATGCCCAGCTAATTTTTGTATTTTTAGTAGAGACAGGGTTTCACCATGTTGGTCAGGCTGGTCTTGAACTCCAGACCTCAGGTGATCCACCTGCCTCAGCCTCCCAAAGTGCTGGGAATACAGACATGAGCCACTGTGCCTGGCCCCTCATTCTTGAAAGATGGATTTTTCTGGGTACACAATTCTAGGCTATCACTATTTTCTCCCAGGACTTTGAAGATATTTTTTACTTTCTTTCTGGCTTCCACTGTTGCTTTTAATAAACCACTTATTTTCTTCTTTCCAGATAATCTCTTTCTTTTCTGCCTTCTTTCAAGATCTCTTTGTCATGAGGTTCTGTACTTTCACCAAGACATAACTATTTGGTAGAGCTTCTTAACTATGCTGCTTGGGAGCCACTGGATTCCTGAACCTAAGGAGCAGGGGCTCCTATCGGTTTGGGAAAGTTCTCAGCTGTATTTCTCTGAATACTTGCCTCCACCCCATATTCTCTTTCCCCTTCTTCTGGAATTACTCGTAAATTGCGGATGCCATACTAAATTCTCTGTCTTCTTGTCTCTTATCCCATCTTATATTTTCCAGCTGCACTTTGGGGTCATTTCTTCAAACAGTTCCCAACTCTTCAGGAAACACACTATGGATTATTTTTTAGAATATTCTATTTCAACAAGTTCTCTTTTTAATCTGCTTGGTCATTTTTATAGTCTCTTGCTTCCTGTGCATAAATTGTTTTATTTAAATATATTAAACATCCTCATTCCATGTGATGTGTCTGCTTACTCTAGGATCAGAATATTGGTGTGTGTGCTTCTGTATGTCTTTCTGCTGGGCCTTGTTTATGGTACTGCGTGTGTGTGTTTACAATTTCTTTCCTGTACCTTAGCATGTTTTGATATCTTAAAAAAAAAAAACAAAAAACAAAAAACCTTTCTCTGTTTTATGGCAGTCTCATTTAAAAAAAAAAAAAAAAAAAATTCCACCTTCTGGCTGGGAGACTGCCCCTCCCAGAGCAGCCAATCCTTACAGATAAGGGCCCAGCTGGGTGCACGCCTCTGTGATGCAACCTCATCAGTCCAGAGCCCACCTCTATCTAGCCAGAGCACTCAGGCAGCCAAGGACCACTCCTACAGCTTGGAGCCCATGGAAATCACTCCAGCTTGCCGGCCACACACCTGCCCTACCTTGCCTTTCCTGGGGAAGCGCCAGGAAAGGTCTGGCAGAAGCTCTCCTGGGCTCCTGCCTCTCCTCTCAGGCTGCACTTGACTGACTGTCTCATACAAGAACACAGAACAGGGAGCTTGTCTCCTTGGGGATTAGAAGATGATGATGATGATGATTTTACAATGAACGTATACTTCTTAGGATGTTTTCTATCAAAGGCCTGATTTGGAGGTGGGTTTCTCACAGTTTCTACACTGTCTGCTGGGCTCTGGAAATACTACCAACTGCAACTTCTCTTCTTTTGTATTTTTTCTCTGTTTTAAGACAGGGTCTTGCTCTGTTGCCCAGGCTGGAGCGCAGTGGCACAATCACAGCTCACTGCAGCCTCAACCTCCTGGGCTCCACCATGCCTGGCTAACTTTTTTTTTTTTTTTTTAAGAGACAGAGTCTTGATATGTTGCCCAGGCTGCTCTCAAACTCCTGGGCTCAAGCAATCCTCCTGCCTCAGCCTCCCAAAGATCACAGGCATGAGCCACCATACCCAACCTTACCTGGCTTTGAAAGGAAAATATAAGCATGCTTTCTTAAAGATGCACTATACACTGTGTTAAGTAAAACAACTCAGAAACAGAGAGTCAAACACCACACGTCCTGACTCATAAGCAGGAGCTGCCCAACAGGCAATGTGAGCTCAGAAAGTGGAAGGTAGAAGGCGGACATGAGGGACTCTAATGAGGGGTGGCAGGAGAGGTGAAGGTAAGAAGCCCAGACTGCATCACCATGCACTATACCCACATAACACAACTGTACCTTATGCCTTGAATTCACACACACACACACACACACACACACACACACGCGCGCTAACTTCCTATGTTTTTACAATATAAACTAAAGCAGACAGAAGAGCAGTGTGCAGTTTTGGAGCTGCCGCACCAGCTCTCAGCAGACCCCAGTGCTCCTGAACGCAAAGCTCTGACCCTGCTGATGCGCTTTAGGCTTTAGGCCTGCTTCCAAGGTCCTAAAGGCCAGGCCTTTCTGAGAGGACTAAGGACATTTTGGTGAAAACTGATTTGGTTTGTATGACAGAGGGGCTCTTTTGTTGACTGATACTTTCCTTTTTAAAGACACAGAAAAGGCTGGGCACAGTGGCTCATGCCTGTAATCGAGACCATCCTGGCCAACATGGTGAAACCCTGTCGCTACTAAAAATACAAAAATTAGCCAGGCATGGGGCATGTGCCTGTAGTCCCAGCTACCCAGGAGGCTGAGGCAGGAAAATCACTGGAACCTGGGAGGCGGAGCTTGCAGTGAGCCGAGATTGTGCCACTGCACTCCAGCCCGGGCAACAGAGCAAGACTCCATCTCAAAAAAAAAAAAAAAAAGGACACAGAAGAACACGGAATGTGTTTGATATGAACCAAGTATTTTGAGATCCTGACACCTGCAGAGACCTGAAGACACTGAGGGGGCACAGGATGGCTCTGGCAGCACCTCACTCTGGAGTGGCGTGCTTCCTTCCTGGCTCACCACCCAGCCACACCCACGGGACAGGCTAGGATGCTCCCAGATGCTGCAGCACTCAAGGAGGTCCTGCTGGGAATGCCAGGCAACCTCAGGCAGATGAGGGAGCCAGGGCACTTTGAGCTCGAGGCACAGACCCTCATTCCGGGGTGCATGCCCCTCATGCAAGAGACACCAGCTCTTGGTGACACGGGCCACAGGCATCCACTCCTGGCTGAGCTGGAGAGAAAACTGGCCGGGAAGCTGATCAAATGTCTCCATGACAGTTTAAAGCAGCAGCTGGTGGGGCTGGAAAGGTTGCAGGGATGCTGGTCTGGAATCCATCCTGCACTGGGGACTTCCAGAGCACGACCTGTCCAAGAGGGGCTGAAGGCCACCGGCTCTCAGGACCCCAGGGGTCAGGGCCACCTAGTTGTTTCCTTGCCCACAGGAGAGCTTACCGCAGCAGGTGGGACTGGACAGCCCTCCTCTTCCCTCCAGCTTCAGCCACTTCCTCCCGTGCATCCACTCTACACCCTTCTCCGTGGTGATGGCAAACTACACAGCAGCTCAGAGCTGCCTTTAGACCCCTGGCCCTGAAACTGCCATGGCTGAAGGTTTCTAGAGAGTACCTGTGGCCCCCCAGGATGGCTGCACAGGCTCCCTGCCTGCTTGGCCCTCCGTGACCACCCTAAGGTCCAGCTCGGTGGCCCAAATGCCTGCCCCCCAGGCCCTGTGCCCTGCAGCCAACAGCTCACAGCCATGGGGCTGTCCTTTGCAGACTCGGCACCCACATGCCCAGCCTGGGCCTCTGAGGCCTCCCCTGCTGGCCTGCAGCCATGCCAAGTGCTTTATCTGGTAGGTCTAGGCATTCTCAAGGGACAGCTGTTCCCAGGGTCATCAGCCAGATCCCAGAAACTAAGCCCCCGCCTCCCTCTCCCCCAAATGAAACCAGAGCTCCCAAGGGGCTGCTTGTGGCTCACTCTTTAATAAATGCCCTGAAACATGGAGCTCACACTTCAGTGGGAAGGGGGAAGCCAGTGGGTGAACAGAAGGCTGCACCCCACGACTGACAGCAAGTCACTCTCACTGCAAACACAGGCAGTGCCGAAACCCAGCACACACATGCAGAACTCTGCCCTGCTGGCTTTTGAGCCCTGAGCTGGCCCTACCCCATGCTCCTGGAGGGCTCTGAGGAGGAACAGAGGTGGGGAAGCATGGACAATGGGCACAGCCTTCCACAAGCCTCCAGCATGGGATACCTGGTGGCTCAGCCCTGTGTGCTCCTCCATGCACAGAAACCCACATGCCACCTGATCCAATGTCCCAGACCCCTCTAAACCACGCACAACCCCACCCTGAGACATGCTGGAAACAAGCACAGTGAAACAACTCCCAAAGCCCGAGCCCCAGCCTGCAGACCCTGGACACCGCCCAGCTTCCAGGCACAGGGACCAACCCCCCACGAGGCTCATGCTGGGCAGAGTGGGGTGCAAGGCACAGAAGCTGCCAGTGCTGGCCAGAGACACTGTACCATCCTCCCAGACAACCCTGTGTGGAGCCACAATTGGGGCCCGGCGCCACCTGGAGCTCAGCACTCACAGTGGGCTCCTCTGGGGCCACAGGAAGCCCAGCGAGAAAACAACCCACGTGCCTGGGGCCCTTGAGCATGGGCGGGGCCAGGCAGGGCACCTACAAGGGGGACTTTCCCAGATGGGAACCAGGGCTCCCACCCAGTAGGCACAGCAGACAGATGGAATGGGAAGACCCCCGACAGAGGACAGAGGCCCCAGGCCCCAGCCTCCCCATCAGCCTGCACCAGCCAAGGCTTCGGGCTACTTGGAGACTGTAGGCCACCAGTCTGGCACAGATGCGGCTAAGGCCACCTGAGCACCCTCAGAGGCTCTGATGTGCAGAGGACCCTTGATCTTCTCTGACCACAGCAGGGCCAGCCCCACGTTGCCCTGGCCGGCCCTGAACTTGCCCACAGTCTGTCCTGACGCAGTCAGCACCGTGGCACCGGGGGTGATGCCACTGGCAGGAAGGGGGTCCAAGAACCTGACAGGGAAGAGGCGCTTGCGGATGACGCCCATGTGGTGGGTGCGGGCTGTCAGCTCCTGGCCGATGTAGCAGCCTTTAGTGAAGCTCACGCCGTTCATGAAGGCCAGGTTGGACTCCAGCGGCAAGGCCACCCCAGGAGGCAAGTCTCCGACCCCCTCAGGAACGCCTGCAGGGATCGGAGGAGGGAAACCAGCGAGAACTGAACATCGTCTAGCCCTACCCATGCAATCCAGTCCTGCGCGCCCACCCTGCCCATACCTTGCAGGTATCGGTGCTGGTGATAATCCCACAGGTCCCCGAGCCGGCCCCCCGACACCAGGGCTGGGCCTTCGTCCTGGGTGAGGAGCCGCCACCCCATGCGTGCTGTTCGCGGGTCGCGGATGAGGATGGCAGCAGCCCCTGCACTCTCCTGCAACGGTGCATTCCTGCAGGCCTCAGGGGAACTGGGCAACACCGCCCATACTCGCAGCTCCCGGTGCGGCTCCACCGTGACCTTCCGCCGGATCCTGTACAGCGCGAGGTGCTTCTGCAGTGCGCCCTGCACGGAGCTGTCACACTCCAGGAGAAAGCCAGACACCTCCTCCGAGTGTTCCTGGAGCCTGCAGGGAGAGAGGCAGGGGTGCATGCCAGCTCACCAAGTGCGTGGGCCAGAAAGGGCTGCATGACGGAGCTAGCCTTACGCGGGCAGAGGAGTACACCGTGGACCAACGCAAGGAGCCCTGCCCAGCCACAAGGGACTGCACCTTCAAGGCAAGCGCCTGGGTCACCACAAGCAGGGAGCCACGCCCACAGCGAGCCACGCCCATAGCCACATCCCGCAGCACCTCCCAAGGTGCGTATCACAGCTAGATGTGAGCACCATGGAGAACAGCGCAGAGTGCCGTGCCCACAGCAATGCCAGGATACATGCAGACAATGCACATCAGGCCAGGCAGGGCACACCTGGACCAGCGCATGGAGAGCCCTGCCCACAGCCACGCGGAGCTGCGCCTCCAGAGCTCTCCTCTAAGCAGGCAGAGACAAGCTCACAGGGGCTAGCGCAGACAGACCCTGTTTGCCCAGGGACTGGCAGAACTACAACAGCCTGCCCAAGGGCATCGTCTGGAGTAGTCCCAAAGCCTAGGGAAGAAATGACAACAGTCCACTGGATGCGGGAGCAGGGACGGGCAGGGCCCCACAGAGGAACGGTATGCACAGCCACTGAGAACCAGACCTGCCCGTTCCAGCCCAGGGAAGCCATCGAGGAGCCCGAGGGTCCTAAGGTGGGCAGGAGGGAGGAGCAAGGAGCCCAGGAGGAGGTCAGGGAGGTACAATATGCCTGAGGACCACTCTACCTATGTCCACCACCTGCCTCCCCAAGTCAAGTCTCAGAACCCAACCCCAGAGCCATTCTGACCTGCACTCCAGGCAGCCCTCCTCAGAGGATTTGGGCAGGCACCACACGAATGACCACTGACCAGATGGATGGTGGGGAGAGGAGAGGCCCGGGCAGTGTGGGGCATGTCAGGTGGGGGGCACTAAGTGGAGATACCTCGGGTGCAGCCACCTCCATGGCTAGGGTTGATTGCAGGTGTGGACTGCACAAGGCTTCACAGACCGGTGAGAGCTGAGACAGGGAGGTAATAAGACCCCCAGAGGGCCTGCCAGAGAGGAGCCCACAAGCTGGTGGCCCAGCCCCTTCCAGCCAGAAGAGGGCTCAGTCCTTGCCAGCCGCCCAGAGCTTCAGGTGCCAAGTGGGGGCCTGCTGCCCTCATCTCTGCAGTCTCACTCTACCCTGTGATCATGCCCACGTGCCAGCAGCCACAGAGAATGTTCACACTCATCACCCAGAACCAGTGGGCACAGGTCTCACTGAGGACCCTGATGCAGGGAGGGTGGGCATAGCCAGCTGTGACAGCCAGTGGAGCTGGCCCGCCCTCCAAGACAGTGGTCACAGGACATCAAAAACAACACTGGCAAGGAAGGGGAACATACGTCATTTACACATGTGGGGCTAAGATGATGGGAGGAACAGCAAGGACAGCACAGAGGGGCAGCCACAGGTGTGGTGCGAAAAGGTCACCACGCCACCAGGGAAACACAGGCAATGTGTCCCAGACAGATGCAGTGGCAAACCCAAACGCTGGCCAGCACGAGAAACCAGGTCACTGGCATGCTGCTGGTGTGGAGGCAAAACGGGCGTCTCTCTGGAAGACAGGGTGCAAGTCCTCACAATATCAAACAAGCAACTACCCTGTGACCTGGCTCTCTCACTTCCGGGCATGGATCACTGAGAAATGAACACTGCAGTTCACACAAAACCTGCTGCAGCGAAAGCTCACAGCAGTCAGCTCTACTAGTAATGGCCAAAAGGGGAGAATCAAGGTGCCACCACACGACAGGGGACTTCTCAGCAAGAACAGGGAGCCGGAGATGGACAGAAGTGGGTGGATCTGAGGGCACTATGGTGAGGGAAAAGGGTAAGGCCAAAAAATAACAGGCCGGTGCATCCATCTATGACACTCCTGAAATGACACAATTTTACAGCTCGAGAACAGGTTTCGGGGTGGTGGGGGTACCCATTCAGGGGCAGGAGCAGGAAGCCGCATGGGCCTGATCATGGCCACAGGTATTCGCACGTTAGAAAATCGCAGTTATACACATGCATGCACACACGCACAAAGTAAGACACGCAAATCCAGAGACCCCAGATGTGCCCTGTGTGTGCAATCAGGGGAACTGGGGAGGGGTCTATGCGATCTCCTTCCACAGGTTGTTTTGTTTTTTTTTTTTTGGCAACTTCCTGCAAATCTATAATTATTTCAAAATAAGAAGTGGGAAAAAAAAAACAAAAAACAAAAAACAAGGAGCTTCCCCTGCAGAGGTGTCCGAGCACTACAAGAGGGAAGGCAGCAGGCAGTCCTTTCATCCTAGCCATCTGACATCAGCAAGTTTTTAACCACATGCATGCGTATTTGTATTTTTAAAGTCTACATTAGGGTCAGCAGACAAAGATGGACTAAAACACAGGTGAGCAGGGGACCCGGGCGGAGGGACAGATGTGAGGTCATGGGCACAGGGTGCTGGGCACTGGACAGGCAGGGAGGAGCTGAGCAGTGCCAGACAGAGTAGAGGGACAAAGTAAGGGGACTAGAGTGGAGCTGAGGGATCGCAGGTCCAGGGTCTAGTAAGCTGGGCACACAGGCACAGGGGAGGCCACAGAGTCCTACAGGGCAAGGGCAGGAGCTGGGGCAGGACAGGCAGGGTGGGGCCAGGGTGCCCCATGGGTCCATCAGTCGAGAGTGGAGCCCAGAGAAGATTAAGCTGAGCGCCCCTGCACTCTGAGGTGGGGCTGGCTCAGCTGCCTGCCTTGGCTGGAACCCCCACCCATGCTGAAATCCCCTGCTGCCCCCATCTGCTGAGCACTCCCTGGCCTCCCACAGGGTGGATGTCCTCACAGGACCCAGGTTCTGGGGTCAAGGGCACTTTCCAGCCCTCTGTGCCGGTGACTGTCTACCAAGCAGCTTCTCAGGACCAATTGAGCTGGGACGTGACCCCCAGGCCCACCCCAACCCCTGCCACACCTGAAGACTGCCAGGAGACTAGCCGCAAAGGAGAGCCCTGGCCTGGGGAGCTTTCTCAGCCTCATCGATATCCATGGTGGGGGCTGTCCAGATGCTGAGCAGCACCCTTTGCCTGTACCACATCCCATGATGACAACCAAAAATATTTCCAGATACCGCCGAGGGGAGCAGGGGACAGGGTTGCCAGAGAAAATACAGGGCACCTGGTTAAATCAGAATTTCACATCAACGACCAATGACTTTTTTAGTGTACCCCAAATACCGCACAAGATGTACGTACAAATCACCCGTTGCTCGTCTGAGATGGACCTGGGTGTACTGTGCTTTTGTTCGCTGAGCCCAGAAGCCCCGGTGGGAGTAAGGGTGCAGGAAGGGGAGGGAGATCAGGGGTGGCTCTGGCCCAGCCAGCTGAAAGAAAGGGTCCCCTAGCCATCAGACCCAAGGGTTTCCAGTCATGTTCAGGAAAACACTGCCCTGGGGCCCGGCCTGACTCTTTCCCTTCTCTCTCCTTCCTCCTTCCCAGGCCACCAGAGGCCTGACAAGTCTCTCCTGCCCCTCAGTGCTGGACAGACACAAGGCCACAGCCCTGACACTCTTGGGCCTGCTGAGCCCTGCACTGAGTCCACATCCTTGCCCTGGCCAGATCACAGCAAGGCCACTGGACCACAATCCTACCTGCGACATGACCCTACAGCCTCTCTCTGCCTCCTACGTGAAGAGAGATCAAAACCAACTGACAGAAAAGGACCCCAAGGAGGCCAGGCATGGTGGCTCATGCCTGCAATCCCAATACTTTGCAAAGCTGAGGCAGGAGACTCGCCTGAGCCCAGGAGTTCAAGACCAGCCCGAGCAACATAGTGAGATCTCAACTACCTGTAGTCCTGGCTACTTGGGAGGCTGAGGTGGGAGGATCACTTCAGCCCAGAAGTTTGAAGGTACAGTGAGCTACAACTGTACCACTGCACTCCAGCCTGGGCGACAAAGCAAGGCTCCATCTAAAAAAAAATGCTGGCGCGGTGGCTCAAGCCTGTAATCCCAACACTTTGGGAGGCCGAGACAGGCAGATCACAAGGTCAGGAGATTGAGACCATCCTGGCTAACACAGTGAAACCCCGTTTCTAATAAAAAAATACAAAAAACTAGCCGGGCGTGGTGGCGGGCGCCTGTAGTCCCAGCTACTCAGGAGGCTGAGGCAGGAGAATGGCGTAAACCTAGGAGGCGGAGCTTGCAGTGAGCTGAGATCCGGCCACTGCACTCCAGCCTGGGCGACAGAGCGAGAGTCCATCTTAAAAAAACAAAACAAAAAAAAAATTAGCTGTCAAGCTATGAAAAAACATGGAGGAATCTAAACGCATTATCACTAAGTGAAGGACGCCAATGTGAAGAGGCTACAGATGCATGAGTCCAACTACAGGACATTCTGGAAAGCATGAAACTATGGAGACACTAAAAACATCAGTGGTGGCCAGGAGTTATGGGAGATGGATGGATGGGCAGGGCACAGAGGATTTCAGGGCAGTGACACTATTGTATGTGATGCTACAATGGTGGACATGTGTCATCATACATTTGCCTAACTTATGAACGCACCAAGCCAAGAGTGACCCTCATGAAAACTATGCACTCCAAGTGATGATGGTACGTCAACAGAGGTTCATCAATTGCGGCGAAAACAGCACTTTGGTGGGGGATGTTGATGATAGGGGAAGTTGTGGGGTAATATGGGAAATCTCTGCACATTCTGCTGTTTTGTTGAGAACCTAAAACTGCTATAAAAAGCAACTCCCATTAAAAGACAACAACCAAAAAACTATAGCTTCATCTGAAAGAAGGCACTACATCCAGGAAACAAGAATAGGGGGCTTTAAGGAAGCAATGGCTCAGGATGATATATTAGCAAGTATCAGAGTTGAAATAAAAAATCTTACAGTCAGAAAAAACCCACAGAGGAATGATGGGCAGGGAATGACCAGAGAAGCAGGAACACACGGAGCCTTCCAGCGAGAGGTGGCCCCTGACCTGCAGGCTGCCCTCTCCCCAGAGGAGTGACCAGAGAGGGCAAACCACAGAGAGAGAGGTCAACAGCCAACAGCAGCCCGACAAGGAAAAGAGTGTAACCTCATGAACTGAACTAAATGTGCCCAATGAGCGCAGCCCGAAGCCCACCCAT